TCCTGGCCTTACGCGTTTCGACATGGTCTGAAGTACCAAATTCGTGAGAGCCTTGGTGTACAGTTGCTGTTTCTTCAGAGTGCGAAGTCAGAGCTGCGATGGTTTTGACACGTGTTGCGAATGCTTCAAGAGAGGAAGATTCAGCAATTATTACTTGCCCAGTCGATTGGGAGAGGACGCAGTGGACGACTAAGATTGACCTGATGCAAGCGTTATAAAGAAATCTGCTCTAGATTCTGGCTGTCTTATGCTGCCAAAGCTCAGACCCTGGCACGGGATCGGGAACGTTGGATGCACTGTCTCGTGTCTGCCTTCGCGACTTAAAAGGAGAAACGGTCACGGAAAATTAATGAATTGAATGAAGAAATTTCACAGGTCGTGGTAAACCTAGCACGTGTATTGCCGTGAGTCTACACTTTCAAAGTAGATATGTAAATTGAAGGGATGGGGAGATATGGGAGGACAAGACAGAGCGCGAGGTCGCACAGTCGTACATGCCAGAGGTGCTGGTTGCAATCCAGCAGCGGATTTTTCTCTTTTACTGCCAATTCATATCAGTAGACAACTAACTTCTCTACTTTTTGGCATAGTTAACCGAGGTATCACGTCATATCGATGACGTGAAGATCGCAAAGACATCGTGATGTTTGGGCGTGGTCATGTTAGAGCTTCTGACGCTTATAGTGATGCAGTTTGATGCAAATTTGTTTCTGCGCTACTTCTTGACCCAGCTGTAAGCTAACTTGATCAGTACTAAGTGCGGTCCATAGGCAGTTATAAAAAGTAAGTATTGGAAAGCTCTTTGGCATACCTGATTTTTTGCGTATAGACAGATTTAACTTGCTGATCATTTACTTCCTCTGCAGTCAATTTCTGTATCATTATGGCAAAAATAAGTGACAATATGATAGGATATCATCTAATCGGATCTGCATTCAGTGATAAATCTCTTTTGACAACGACATAAGATCTGCCTGCTCCTACAAATGGAGTGTGCATCAGAAACTAGGGACAGCTTACACATGGATCACTTTAGGTGATACCAGCAACCAGCAAACATAATTACAGAGTAGTTGCTGTTGCCTGATAGCTTGCCTATCCGCGGCATACTCATATTCGTGTTTCTTTATTTCTTAAGTGCTTGTTTTTAAGTATACCCGTTTAAGACGTGAGACAAAGTTGCCGTTGGTGATCGAAGCTTCCGAGTACCTGTTGTTGGCGCGCGTTCAAGAGCAGCACATGGGGACATTGCCAAGTTCAGATTCGATTGTCCCTCTGCTGAATCCATTTGCCCTGAGCGCAAGTATGAGAGCTTCGTATGCTTTCGCCCTTTCGAGGTAGGATGCTTTATTTTCTATATGCATTTTCTTTTGTTTTGTTATTTCATCATTAGGCTGGTTACCAATGCTTTTGCTTTGTTTTTGTCTAAGAATGGACTTAGTCGCCTTTTAGGTGTGAAAGTAGTGAGGGTATGGAATGGTTAAAAAATCTTTCACTCTAGTGATTTACCCCATCTTATTTTCCCGTAAATTTTCTCTATGATAGAGAAGAAAGGTGATCCTTGACGAGAAAATGACATAACTCGTATAAATGACTTAAAGAGAACATTAGGCAGTGTCTGCTCTGTGTTTTGTGAACGGTGAAGTGAGCAGGGTGATTGAAGGACTTACCGATTAGCAATAATACCAAAGACTAACCGTCAGAAAGCCAGCATTTGAGTATATAGTGCGGTCCAGTCGCCACTTAAAACTATTCTGCAATGGTACCATTCAGTGAAGCCAGACGCGTGACAAAAAAGCCCAGCAAGGCTCTTAGTATTAAAAAACATGGAATACTGAATCTAGAAGCTGACATTACCGCTTCACGTTTATGGCAGAAGACCACCAGTAGTAAGAGCGATTCGGTTTGATATTGGTGCGTTGACGCCAATGTAGCCAGTCGGCCACGCGAGGTGAGGATAAGAACGGCGAAAGGTGATCCGTGAAGCAAATATTATACAGATCCTATAAGTATCTTAAAGGGAGTATTGAACGATGTTTATTTGTAGCTAACCGGAGAAACATAAGCGAACGTGAAAGTTTACCGGACGAACATACAGACATTATGTGTCCTCGAGAGGACTTGATAAATACTCAACTCTTCCAATTATAAGACAAAAATAACAATAAATACATATCAGTGTTGTAACAGTGGTGATAAATGTTCGGTTTAATGCGTTTTCTCCTTTTCGAAGACTTTGTTGCGTTAATTCGCAGCTCGTAGGTCTGTAAATTGCGAGCAGGACGGTCCATTCTCTTGCCGTTTTGAATCGCTGTACTATCTCGGATTATTAGATCTCTGGACATAGTGATGCCGAACTTCTTTGACCAGCAGGAGTGTGGTGTTCGACACTTTTATTAATGCGGCAGAGTTTTCAGTGAAAAAGCAGATCGACGAAACAGCGCGCGGTCAACGGTGTTTAAAGGAGCAAAAAAGGCACCAACTCAATACGACGTCGTTTTACATTTATCTAAGAGTTTACAGCGCTTTTTCTTGGGCCCGACGTGTTCTTGTCAGAAAAGTAACTCTCTACATGGAGTTGAGTATTTATATTCGTTCAGTTAAGCTCAATGCAATTTACTTTGAAGACGAGTATGGCAACAACTGGTTACTCTAAATAAAACAGAATATATAGTGCTGCATAACAGC